TAGCAACTGCCTTCCTTCTTCCTCTGCATTTCAAATACCCAGAGCTTTTCCCAGGACAGTTTAAATCCCAGAGTGACTGCACATCATAGGTGACATTATGAGAGGTCACCCCGAGGTTAATTCCTTTCCCTGAATAAAATCCTTCCAGTTCCATCACTTTCCCACTTGGATACAGGTCCCTAAGCCTCTCCAAGCCCTTTCCAGGTGCCCTGAACAAGAACAAACTTCCCAAGGCAAAGCAGAGCTCAGGCTGCTGCATCAGTTCACAAGGCAGCTCTGATTGCAAAGACAATTCTCTTTCAGCTGCTGCAATAAACATCCTAGAGAGAAAGGGAAATGGGAAACTGGCACAGGGTGCCCAGAGCAGCTGTGGCTGCCCCAGGACCCCTGGAAGTGCTCAAAGCAAGGTTGGAAAGGACTTGGAACCACCTGGGATAGTGGAAGGTGTCCCTGCCCATGGCTGGGGTGGAACTGGATGAGCTTTCAGCTCCCTTCCAACCCAAACCACTCCAAAATTCTATTTAGAATTATTATATTTTTATTATTATATTTCTAAGTTACTATTTCAGCAGTTCCTGGAGGCTGGAAATCATTCCTTCCAGAAAAGAAAGGTTGTTGGTGTGTGCTGAATAACTCTACAGGCTGTGATATTATGGATATACTAATTGAATTCCACTTAAATAAGATGGAATTTTGTTTGTTTAATTGGAGTTTTTCAACATCCCTCAAAGATGCTAATTTTCCCATTAGTTACTCTTTTATTCATTAGCATTAAGCAAGAGGCGAGGAATAAAAATAGGTTGAGAGCAAAAAAAAAAAAAAAAAAAGCAGAAAACCAAACTAGAATTCTCTTATATCTTTAAAAGCGTTAAAACATAGCTAATTATTTTTTGTTAATAAATATTTCCTGGGGTGAGAAATGGCAGTGCAATTAAAATCTAAAGCCCAAACTCTATTTTGAGCCCCCCTTTTTGTCTTTGAGGTAAACCAAATAAAGCAGGTACATCCACGCACTCTCTCCTTTAAGAGGATGCTGCTCTTACAGAGCTCCATATGAAGATGAAGTGTGACTCAATATCTGCATCACTGATGGTGCTGATAGGGAGTGATTCTAAAATACAAATTGTGAAGCAGAGCCCCTGCTGGAATCTGTCATTTAACATCCTGCATTTGCCAGAATAACACAGAGGGACCAAGTCACTGAGCTTGCTCATGCCCTAATTGGTCCCCAGGAAGGAAGGAAGCTCTCACCTGGCTCCAAAGGAGCTCAGGGAGGAGGAAGTTCTGCCATCCACCTACTCACACATCCACCCACAGCCCTCCCTGACTCAAAGCTTCCCATGCCTTTCTGCTCCTCCTGGCTTGATTTGGTTTCCTCAGCTGCCCTGAGAGTCCTTAAAAGCCCACCCAGCAGGCAGAAGTGCCAGGAGCACCAGCCACATGCCTGATGTTTCTTTAATTCCATGAAGCAAAGCCTCGGTGACAGCCCAGGCGTGGATAATCCACCAGGAGGGTTCTGGGAGCAGCTGGGGAGCTGTCCTGGCACTCCCAGCTCCAGGGCTCTGAGCTGAAGCAGTGAAGGACCTCTCTGCCCACTTCCCCACAGTGGTGCCCCATGAGGAGCCACCCGGCTGGCACAGTTAGCCCCAGTGTGCCACACACTGAACCTGCTGGAGAGGAGGGGGATGTAGCCGTGATATTTTCTAAAAAATCCCTTTGCTAGGAGTTTTCTCCTGAGTAGCTGAGAGGCCTCAAAGGAAAAGAAAAACAATGATTATCTGCTGCTGTGGAATGGAACAGGTGGATCTGTGATTTGTCTCATGTGGTTGTTTCTAATTAATGGCCAATCACAGTCCAGCTGTCTCAGACTCGCTGAGAGTCACAAGCTTTTGTTATCATTCCACTTCTTTCCTTGCTAGCCTTCTGATGAAATCCCTTCTTCTATTCTTTTAGTATAGTTTTAATATATCATTTTCTTTTAATATAATATATACCATATATTATATGGTATATATTTAATATAATATATACCATATATTAATAAATCAGCCTTCTGAAACATAGAGTCAAGATTCTCATCTCTTCCCTTATCCTGGGACCCCCGAGAACACCACCACAGGGAGCCAGGCCAGAATCCACTGGGTGATGCTCATTATCTGGGGCTGGGGAGAGTAAGGGCTGAAGTAAATGAATTTTTGGTCAGGGAAGGGGACAGGGGAGGTGTAAAGGTCACCTCTGATGCCCCAAAGAGGGGCAGACCTGTGGCTGCTGTCTCCATCAAGCAGCCCTGCCAAGGGTTTGCATAGTACTGGCTGAGGAGAGACCAAAGTTTACCCACACAAGTGCCTAAAGAGCTTCCTTTTCTTCCTTAGATTCTGGTACAAAGTTTTAGACTCTAGTCTAAAATTTTAGACTCTGTTCTGACCCAAATGACTCAGTGATTCCATCCCCTGGGAAAAGGGCAGTGACTGAGCAGTGCTCAGGTGCCAGCTGGGGTTAGCCCTCGACAGATGCCCAGCAGATTCTTCCCTCCTGATTTTATAAAATGAAGCCATTTCGTGGGTCCATCGTGCTCCCTTAGGCACACAAAATAAATAAATAAACCCAGAAGTGTTCAGCAAACCCCCTCTTGCAGGGATTAGCAGCAGGGGAATTAGTTATGTAAATCACTTGGGCCTTCAGAATACAAAATACACACTGACACTCAAATTACTCACTGAGAAAAACTTCAGCTTCCTCCTGGTATCTACAAAGGTTTTCCCCTTGATTGTAGATTTTATCTGAAATCTGACCTTCCATATTTAATTGCAGCTTCACTGAACTCTCCCATTCTGCCTCCCATTATTTCACATCCATATCTTAGGGAGAATCCTCTTTTCCCCACTGTCATCCCTAATCCTTTTTCTCCGGGCATGAATTTCCTCCCCCACTGTTCACCCAGGCTCTCACTGATGCCAGACAGACCCCTGTCACAGCAGGGAATTACTCAGGAGCAGGGCTTTCCAATCCTGGAGGCAGCACAGCTCGCTGAAGGGATAACAGCAGGAAACCATCCTGATAAACCCAGGGCCTCGTGCATTGGAGGCAGGGGAAAATCTGAATTTCCCAGTCCTTGTGCAGCTGGGGGCTCTTGCAGGGTTCATCTGAGCCCAGGAGGAGGCTGAGTGTGGAAAGAAGAGCCAGGAATCCCCTTGATGCCAGCTGAGGGTGAGTTTCCCCTTTACCCTGTCACAGAGTTCCTGCCTCTCATAAATGCATCACCAGAATTTCCCAATTTTTTTTCCCCTGTTCTTCCTAGCAAGTTTTCCCACATTTTTCTTCACAGTGGCTCCCAACTCACACAGCACCTTCCTGTGGTCCTGCAGCTGCCTCTGCCTGCTGAGCTTGAAGGCTTTGAGCTGTCCTGAGTGTCTCTTGCTCAGGCTGTGGATGCCAGGGGACCCCTCTCAGCAGGGCTGCTGCTCCCTACCCAAGGAGGAAAGCTGCTGACGTTCTGGTGCTGTGAAGCAGCAGCAGCAAAACCTTCATCTTCTCCCTCATTTCCTCAGTCCACCTCTTCTAAGAGGGTAACAACCCCTCGTTTTTAAAGAAGGGGTCAGCTTTAGGCTTTTCTCACAGGATCATTAAGGTTGGAAAATCCCTCCTAGATTATCAAGTCCAGCCATCAACCCAGCACCTCCAGAACATTCACCACTAAGTCACGTCCTCAAATGCCACATCCACAGGTGTTTTGAGCACTCCCAGGGATGGTCACTCCACCACTTCACTGATGTGGAAAGGAGACAGACACTGCAGGTGTCTCCTCATCCCCTCAGCATCAGGAGTCATGTTCTGGACACAGGGAGCTCTCAGGGCTGAGGGACTGACCCCGAGCTGCTCCTTTCAAAGCCTGGCTTTTGGAAACAAAACAAACCAAAACTGCAGTGAAAGAGGCTTTTTCTCCCCCATGCCAAGCTCTGGCAGCGAGCAGGCTGCCAGCTCTGCTCCTGAGCTGCAGTGAGCAGCTGCTGCTCGTGGAGATGCTCAGCTCTGGAGGGGAAACTGCCCGAGCATCGAGCACCGAGCTCTCCCACACGTGCAGAGGCACTTGCTAAGCCCCAATAACTCTGCTGCAGGGTATCTTTTGCCTTCTTATTGTACAGGGATTAAAGCCTGGCTGCCTCAATCAGAAAGCTGTCCTGATTGCTCACAAACTCTCAGAGCCTCCCCGGTTAAAACTGATTTAAAGAGACAGGAAAAGCAATGAGAAATCAGCTCCCGCTCTATCCTTTGAAACAAACTTAATTTTGACACCTAATTATGTGCAAGTCAGGCTCATTCCTATTTCCTTTGCCAAGCTGCTTTTTAGCTTGGATCTCACAGGGTGCTCACCCTCAGAGGGAGGGAGGCTTTGATTAGGAGGAAGGAGAAACTCCTGGAGAGGAGAAAGGCTGAGGGAATAAAGGCACCTGCAGCACGATGCTGCCTCTGCCCCTCACCTGCTCTGTGACCTTGGGCATGTGGCTCTGGCATCTGGGCTTTGATTTCCCCACTTTTAAGGAAAGGAAGCATCAGTTTCCTCCTCCACATGGTATTTGGAGACAAATGCATAAGTGCAAAGTGCTGAACTCGAGCAGCAAAACCATTCCCGGAGCCTAACGACAGCTCCAGAGAAGTAGCAGGATATATCCATTTTCCCCCATCTCTTTAAGCAGAGCTGAGGAAAAGAAAGCCCCTGCCCTGGCTGAGAGCAAGCAGCAGCGCTGCAAGTGATGCACAGAAATGTGGGGAACACGCCGGAGTGCAGGAATTCGGTTACAAGGCTCGTTTGCAAATTAATGGCTAAATCAATTAAATGAGAGCATGGGATTTCTCTTGAGGAAAGTCTAGTCACGGTGGCAGGGAGAAGGGGAGGGGTTGTGGAGCAGGGATGACATAATCACGTTTGCGAATCACCAGCACCGTGCACGCTTTAATCCATTAATGGGGTTTTTATCTGTGATCATAAAAAGCAGGTTACATTCAGCCTGGAAGGGAGCGAGGCTTGGAGGAGAGGGGAGGGGAGAGAACGACACAGAGGGAGAGAGAGAGGCAGAAAGCAAGGCAGAAAGAGAGCGCAATCCACTCGGTGCGTTGCTCGCAAGCTTGGGGCTGACAATTAGGGATCTCAGGAGAGCAGCTTCTCAGAATAACGCGCTCTCCTCCGCATGGACCGACGGCAGGCAGTGGTTCAGCCCTGCTGATATTTTTTAAGCCCTCCTCGCGGTTTGATGGGCATTCCCAGTGCCTTTGTGCACGTCTCGGGAAGCGTTGACGTGGAAAGGAGCAGCGAGGAGGGGGAGGCTGGAGGAGAAAGCTGCAGCTCCTCCAAAACCAGGGAGGGCATGCACGGGAGGGAGCAGGCTGGCAAGGAGGGGGCACCTCGCACCATGGTACCCCCGTGCCGGCGCGGCGCAGTTCCGGAGATGTCCCTGCTGTGACTGGACGCACCATGAGCATCTGGGAACTGCTCCTGGCTTTCCTGGTGGTGCTGCTGATGCTCGTGGCCCTGCTGGCCAACGTGCTGGTGCTGATGTGCTTCCTGTACAGCGCCGACATCCGCAAGCAGGTGCCGGGATTGTTCATCCTCAACCTCACCTTCTGCAACCTGTTGATGGCCGTCTCCAGCATGCCCCTGACCCTGGCTGGGATCATTTACAAAAGTCAGCCGGCGGGAGATCAGGTCTGCCACGCTGTGGGCTTCCTGGAGACTTTCCTCACCACCAGCTCCATGCTGAGCATGGCAGCTTTGAGCATTGACAGGTGGATTGCTGTGGTCTTCCCTCTAAGCTACCACTCCAAGATGAGGTACCGGGACGCCGCTCTCATTCTCAGCTACACGTGGTTGCACTCGGCGTCCTTCCCCATAGTGGCAGCTTCTCTCTCCTGGCTGGGTTTCCATCACCTCTACGCCTCCTGCACGCTCTGCAACAAGAGACCGGAGGATAGGACACAGTTTGTGATTTTCACTGGGGTCTTTCACGCCCTCAGCTTCCTCCTCTCCCTGGTAGTGCTGTGTTTCACCTATCTCAAAGTGCTGAAGGTGGCACGGTTCCACTGCAAGCGCATCGACGTGATCACGATGCAGACCCTGGTGCTGCTTGTGGACATCCATCCCAGGTAAGCTTCCCCTGAGGTCAGCAGCTGCTCCTGGCAGGAGAATTGAGGAGGGGGCTCAGTGTTGTGGTAGATAGAGATTAACCTGTCTCACAGCAGGGGATGGAGAGGGGGAGGAAACAAACATCCTCTCAGCCCGTTTCTGTTCTGCACGGTTCTCTTCACTTGTGTTTAATTCTCTCATTGCTGAACTCATTTTTTTGTTAGGCTTAGGTTGTTTTGGGAGGGAGAGCAAATGCACAGGCAGCTTTGGCCAAGCGTGCACTTCCCTTTGAGACAGTGGTCTGATCAGTGCCCTTTGTGTCTGAAGGTGGATTTAGTGGCCGATAGCTTTGCATATTTTGGGCACTGCCAGCCCCAGAAGCGTTGCTGGATCCCTGAGAGGGAGGAGGCTGCACACGTGCCTTGGAGTTTGGAAGGGAAGCTGAGTGCTGCCTGCTGCTCCTTTTCCCAGCAGTTTCCCCGTTGCTGTGCTTTCTGTAACTTTATCATTCCTGAAAGCAGAATCCTTAAGGGAATTACATCTGCAAAATACATGTGCTCGAATGCCTGTACTTAAACCTAAAGTGAGAGAGAATTCAGTGGGAGAGTGAATGTGACAAACAAGGGATGTATAAAGCTTGTTTCAAATGGGAGATTTTAGGCAAGTCCCTTGTGCCTCGAGACCAGAGGAGAAAAGTCCCCAGGGACTGTCAGGATCGTGGGCTGGAAGGCAAGAACCAAACAGGGAGAGGAGTGTGTGCAGAAATCATACCAGGGATTATGCACAAGCCATAAATCTTGCATGAATAATCGATGTATAGGTCTGGAAGGGATGCAGGATTGGTGTGTGATACAGGGAGGAAATGTGCCTGGAGGAGAGGAGAGCAGAGAGGGCAGTCCCACACCACACATCCCATCTGAGCATCCCTGCTCCCCTTTGCTCCACCAGCCTCTCCATCCGAGCAGCCAGAGCAGAGCTGCAGGGCTCAGAGCACATGTGGCTGTCCTCAAGCACAGGTCATGCTTTGGGGATGCCTGAGGCTGAGACAAATAGGTCTGGAAGGATCAGGGCAGGGCAGCACATTTTAGAGGGACAGAAACATTTGCTCAGAATCCTCCTGTTAAGCTGTTTGAGCTGTCTCTGGACCAAGAATGCAGACCAGAACTTTGGGCAAGTCTTGCTGCCGTTCCTGAGAAATACAGGGATAAATCTTCCCTTATTCACCAATCACACTGAGGAAAAAAACACCCTCCTGCCCTATGTGCTGTCTGCTTGATGAGCTGTGCCTCAACTACCTCAGCTCCTGCAGCATGAGGGGATGTGGTGCTTTCTCCCAGCAGAGTGCCACAAACCCACCAGGGCTGTTTGAAACCCCACTTGTTTTGCCTCATGCTAAAAGTATGCCTGGACTGCACAGAAAAGTTAAGTAAAAGGGCAAAACCCTCAGTGTTGCCTCTCCTCCCCTGCGTTTTTTCCCGGTTGAGGTTGATTTGAGGGTGTTTGTGCATTTTGTGATCCTCTCCCTGCGGGATGGATTCAGTGGGGCTGTGGGGATGATGCTTCCTCTCTTCAGGGCAGCCAGAGCCGTGCAGGCACTTTGCTGTGGACAACCTGCACCACTGCCTGCACCTCTGGCACCAGGTTATTCTGGTGTATCTCTCTAAGAAAGGAGCTTCAGTTTATTTTCTGCCCTGCAGAAAATAGTGGGTGATTTGACCCCTGGAGGGGCTGCTCTAACCAGTGACAACTCCTCTGCTGAAAGGGGCAGATCTGAGGTCACCAACCCTCCTGTGAGAGCTGCACAGGGGCTGCAGCTCTGCTGGCAGAGCCAGGGATGCTCAGAAACCTCTGATAACAAAAGGCATCATTTGCATTGTGTAACAGGCAATTTCAGGGTGCCCCTAGTACCTGACAGCACAGCTGTGGATGCTGGGAGAGCCCAAACGAGAAAATAAAGTTTGCAATCCCACTTTAGGCTACTCTGACTCCTCTGGTCCAGTTTCAGCGCTGGGAAATGTGTACAGACAATTTTCTGCTTCCCATGACTCAGAATCCAGCCGCAGGGGGGTCTGGTGACAGGATTGTGACAGATGGCTTTATTACCTGTGACTTAGAAAGACACCCGTGATCTCCTGAAGATCATTCAGGACGAGCACAAAGGAAACCTCCAAATACCCTGCAAATATGTGGGAATGTTTAGAGCATGTGGCATTTCAAGTTAGCTGATGTTTTTTTTAGTGGATCCTGCTTTTTCTTTGTTGTTAAGACTAAAATATCTTGGGTATTGTGGGAGATTTGGGCAAAACTTCACTTAAGCGTTTAACCCGTGTATTTGTTAAATAAAATTATCTATACTATCTTTTTGGTGTATCCAGCTCTACACATCTTTAGGTCCAATATCCCATAAACTTTGTTTAAAATACCAAACCTTCAAAGGGATATAGCTCAGATTTCCCAGGATATAAAAATCTTTAAATGAAAGCTTAGCCAATAATCCTGTTCTATTACTGATGTCGCTGCTAGAACTCACACATGTCTTATCTTAGTGCATGAAAGTGTGTGCAAAACCAAAATATTCATCTGTGTGCATGGTCTACATGAAGGAGTGAGATAAAATACCTTCCTCTGTGATGTGGAATTTATTGGCTACATCTGGAAGGGCTGAACAAAAGAAATGGGTTCAAGTCTACCAGGACAGTCATGGGTGAGCTCCAGGAGTGAGAGACAGCTTTGCATGTGCCAGAAAGGAAAAGATGTGACTGGGGAAACAGAGACAAAAATTACACCACCCTCTCCTCCCCAACAACACCTCAATTGAACCTGTCCTGGAGAGTCATTTTTCTGTATTGCCATGGGCTTGGGATATTCTGAATTTAAGAACACAGGTCTTAAACGAAGCTCATGAAACTCTGAGATCATTTTTCTGCACATAAAAATACTCCAAGTTCCCCAGCTCTTGCAGAATCAAAAGCACACAGGTTCCCTTGAAAAGGTGGATTTTTTTTCCCTTCTCAGCTGCCATTGCTAGCTGCAAGTAATTCACATCTAGAACATGTAACACCTTTAAATGTGTCATTTTCTTTAAAAGACAATTTGTTAGAAGGACAAACTTTTCCTCCAGTATTTATTTCATCACATCATGATAGCTCTCTGGGCCTGACAATGTAAGACCAAATTCAGAATGGAACAAAAGAAACACTTTTTCTTCAACAGAACCAAAGGAGCTCATTGCCACAGACATCACTGAAACACACTGAGATCCTCAGGACACAGCCTGTGTTTGCGTGTTGATAAAACATTTACAGATGAAGTAAATAATGTAAGGGTATGGCCATGAGCCTCAGAGCGTGTGGAGCCTGAGAGTGAGTCATCAATTAAAAATTTACAACAAAAAATGGAAAGACTAATGCCAAACAGTTGGGTTTAAAAAAAAATTATAAATATATATAAGTGCAGGACATGGGGCTGCCATTCAGGTTGCCTGAGAAGTGACTGTGGCACTGTGAGATCTGTGCAAGGAGTCAGCAACTCTGCCATGGGCACAGAGAGGGGTTCAGGATGCCAGCCTGGCTTTGCTGTGTTCTTCCCAAAGGGATTTATTGAGGTACAGGCAGTCCTGGCACTGTGGGAGATGCCAGTGCTGCCCAATCCACCTGCCTGGAGCAGACAGGAGCTCATCCACATCCCTCAGAAACCATGGGGAGCACAGGAGTCCCTCAGACAGGGAGCGGAGGAGGACGAGCTTTCACATTGATCACTGTTTTCACAAGAGAAAACCCAAAGGAAAAGCTCCCATCCTAAAATACCGTAGGGTAGGAGAGAAACCAAGGTGTGACTAATTTAAACTTGTTTAGTTAGAAACACGGTTGGTTTGAGATGAGGAATGAGGATATCCCAGGACTGTGGATTTGTGAAACAATTCCAGCTTTGTGGAGCCTTCAGCCCTGCAGATCTGATGGGATGTTTATGGGCACACAGCTCAGTGGGACACAGTGAGAGCTCCCATGTTGGCCTGGGGGTTCAGAGTGTTCTTTTTCCCATTGATTTTGTTGTTTTGTTTGGTATCTTGCTGGGACATTTCTCCTCTCAAAGGCAGTGGAATTGCTGTGTCTAAGGAAGAAGAATGTTGCCTATCCCACTCTGGATATATGGGGATTTTTGAAGGAATTTTGAATGAGTTAGAGATGGAACCTCTGAATTGTTTGTGATGATGGGGTTAATTTTCTTATCTTCTACAACTCTAAACTTCTTTTTAACTTGACATGTCTCTGCTTTAAACTATAAATCCATGTTCTCACTTGAAGCACCTAAGTTTGGAAGCCTTTTCCAAGGTCTCAGATCAAATCCTGTGTTTAATTCGGATTCCAACAGGATATTTTCCAAGTCTCTGAGTATCACCTTGCCTGCAAATACAGCTTACAGTAGTTCATAAACTGAATTCAAGGATGAAATTCACCAATTTTTCTATAGATTAGTTGATATATTGGGGTTGTGTGCACACAAATATTCAACCACGTATTTGTCAGGAACTTTGTGGAGGCTAAGATGAAGAGACAATGCATTAATATTTGGGTTTGTCCCATTTAAATGCAGTGCACAACTAAACCAGATTGTTCTCCATCATTCCATGGTGAACTGGAATTGGGAATTGTCACCTGGTGCTATTTGTGGCTGATTTGGTTGTGTTTGTGTTGGATGTCTCACAGCGTGCGCGAGCGCTGTCTCGAGGAGCAGAGGAGGCGGCGGCAGCGGGCAACCAAGAAAATCAGTACCTTCATTGGTACCTTCATCCTGTGCTTTGCACCTTATGTAATCACAAGGTAAGTTTGGACTACATCCTGGAAAAGGCTGCTGAGATGCACTCCTGGCTCGGGGAAGTAGGGCACTCTGAGCCAGAGCAGGGTTCCAGTCTCCGGGGGAAATCTGATGCGCCGCTTCCACTCCTGTAGCGGAGGTTGCATTTACTGAGCTACCAAATGATGGAAAATGTCCCAGTGCTTCTCCTCTCAGTCCTGATGCACTCTGAGGGTCAGACTCTGCTCACTCAGCCCAGTCAATGTACTGCTTGCATGGGAGGGATTTAGGAAACCATAAGGTTTTGCAGATGATGCCTCAGGTTTTAGGTTTTCTATTTTTCCCATTCTGTGCTGCTTTAGTGTGTGGGTCTGGGCTTCACATCAGGGCATGGTGAGTTCTCTTCACAGAGCAGGGAGACAAAACAATTCTTGCTCCAGCTGGGCACCAAGGACAAATGATCCAAATCTCAGGCTGGGAAGACTGAGAAGAAGGATGAGACTGCATGGGCTAAAGCTGGAATTGAAATTAACTCCAATGTGCAAGTAGACCAGAACTTATAAAAGTGACAGACCCCGTGACCTGCTGTCCATTTTTTGTGACCATTTTGGTTCATGTTGAGTATGGCCCTGGCTGGGCTCTTGTGCTGCCCAAGGTGGCTTCATTGAGGAGATCCTTTTAATAAATCCCTACTTTATTAAGCTCTGTCCAGCCTCTGCTCTAGGTCAGCCTTCCCCAGGCATCACAGACATTTTTTTGTTGTCACCTACTGCTCTGACTGACTTCCCAGTCCAGGGCTTGATCTCCAGGGAAAATCTCGCCTGAATAGCTCAGACTGTAAAAATTTGGTCAACAAAATTCTACTGAGGTGAAAACATGGTCCACAAACTCAAACAACAGTTTTGTCTGATTTGGTAGGGTTTATTAGTCATAAATATCAAATATCAAAGCTGTGCTAGCTCATAACTGAAAAATCTTCTTGTGATTTATGGCAGATATCTATCCACCAGCTTATCTTTGGAAATGGCTCCTGTGGGAAACACTAAATTACTCCTGTGAAATAAAAAGTGTTAGAAAGTGAGTGCATCCAGAAAAAAAAGTTATCTAGCTGTTAAAGGAAATTTACAGCTTGCATTCCTTATTATAAGATTTTGGAAAAACTGAGATGCTGCTATGCACAACAGAGAAAGAAAAAAAATTAAGGTATCTCCTATTCCAATACTATTAAGCAGAAATTAGTGAGGCTGATCTCATTCAAATCGTATCCACCTTGAAAAAAATCATTAAAAAATCTGGATTAAGAATCAATATAATTGAACTTTTGGCCAACTTTGAGTTTTTCCAATTCAGTGTAATGCCCTGAATTCCCAGAATTAGAAAATTTAAGTAATTTACTAGAATTACCTTAATTTTCCCTTCATGGCCGCAAGACACCACTGCAAGCCATACACTTAAATGGTGTGAAAGGACTTGTAATTAAGGGCATTTAGCCTTAATTCTCAAGCTGCAAGATATTAAAGTATTTGTCTTTTTGCAAACGGCTAATTTTCATTTCATGTTACGTCTCTGAACTTCCTGAAAATCCTCCCAGTCACACAATAGCTGGCAGCTCATCCTGAGTGACACCAAGTGCTCTAACCAGAGCCGTGAGGAGTATTTTTGTGCTCCTTCAAAGCATTCTCAGCACTCAGGCACCACCTCCCCACCTCCTCTTCACTCCATGGCATCCCAATTTGTGTCCCAGTAGCCTTAAAATACAGAAGAGGGGGTAGAAAAATCCTGGGCCTGCTCCCTTTAGTCTGTACAAGGATCACGGCAATGTTCTCCTGCTGAGGAGCAGATTCTCCACAGAGGGAGATGGTGAGGAGAGGGAAAATGCAGCTCCTGGATGCATGAGGATGTTTTGGGGTGGGGTGGGAGCTGGTCAGACGTGTCAGGAGGGGTGAAGCCTCCCACATTCCTGGCCCTTTCAATTCTGACATGTGTAAAAGGATCACTGCATATCATTGTTACCACTAATAATGAAGTTTTGGGACTATTTTCAGGCTAAGAATGATTTATTGCTCAGACAAACATCAGTCTCAGAGGCCCTGAGATTTTAGAGGAGCAGGCATTCTGCCATAGCTCAGAGCAGTCACAAGTTCTTTGTTACAAGGCAATCTAGAACTTTCTAACCCCATGGACAGCTGCCACAGGGTTTATTTTGCTTTTCTGACCCATCACCTTTACTCACTTCTGCTGCACTGAGGATACTTTTGTCCAGTGGGCTTCTGTCTCACAGGCACATATCTGCTTCTGTTCTAACTTATAAACTCTTTATTTACTTCATACAACCCCACCCCTACATTATAAACCCTTCACCCTCTTATGAGTGCAGTTACTCACTTACTTCAGGCATATTCTTACTTACAACTATAGAAATAGGAGTTTATTAATTTTCTGCTTAATTCTGTGTATTGTATTTTTACATCAATCCAAGGCTGCAGATCAAACCCTTCAGTGTCTGTGGGAGTTTCTGTTTTTCCATTCCCACAGCTGCACAGCAGGCCAAGGGAATTCCCTGTTGAGCTCCCTGAGAGCCCTTGCTGGATACCTGCAGGGCTGGGTGTTCCAGAACACTCATCCCTGCCTTCCATGGGCTGCGCACCCTGACACCAAGGGGATTGGGAGAATTGGAGTTTAATTGTGTGAACAAGTGTGTAATTGTGTGTAATTTCTGGACTACATCCAGTGCTTTGCATTCTCAGGAGGGACACGATCAATCACAGTTCAATCCATGGACAGAAGTCAGGACAGGGAGTGCCTTGCCCAGCCTCTCCTTATCAGCAATATATTTCAATTAAATATGCTTTTAAGTACTGCCTGAAGTGGGGGCTGACAGCAGCAAATCACAAGGTTTCACTACAACATCTTCCTGTTTCCACACTAAAAATATTCCATGAATGAGTGAAGGAGCTGTGCTCACGACCCCAGACAGAGAAATGCTTCTGTGGGCAAACCTGAGATTTTCAGATCACACTGAGGCAAAAATCAAATCAGGCACTTCATTTATCAAGAAAACACCCTTCTAATTAGTTCAGTGGATGATCATAAGTGGTGTATCAGAATCTGATTGCCTATGACCCTGTGTTTCCACTTCACCAGCATCACAGGTGTAATCCCCCCATTACATATTTCCAAGCACAGATTGTTTCTTGTTTTGTCAAATAACCTGCTGGTACACATTTCTTCCTCTGCTGTATTTATCATTATGCAATTAAAGATACTTGTTCCAAACCTCTTTTCTCCAAGGAACTTTTTCATAAGAAAAATGAAGATAAGTCATACAAGTTTCTAAAATTCATTTCCAACTCCAGGCATTTCATACTGAAATACAGAACTTTGCTCATGTAAGTTAATAAATGCTGTCAATGTGTGAGGAAATTTGCCTTAAATTAAAAATCCTGAAGTAATAGCAGGCAGAAGTTCATAATCCCACGCCCTCAGGTTACAGAGGAGGATGGAGGAACAGGCAGAAGATGATTAAAATTCTTTTGTATCATCTCTGGGGGATAGGGGGTAAGCAAACCCTCGTTTTAAACTGTTGTTTGCCCTCTGCATATGCAGATCCTGCTTGGGCACACAAAAAGCTCAGAATTCTTCTGTAATTTGTGTTCTTCAGCTTCCCAGCTGGGTGGGCACACGTTCAGTAAAATATTTTAGTGTAGTGGTGAACTGCACATGTAAATAAAGGATTTCCAGTGTGCATTATGTGTGTAGAGATCAAGGTCACACTCTTCCACATGGCATTCTTGTTTGTTTACTGAAGGGGAAATAAAATAATTGGATAGCCGTGTGAAATGACACACTCTACAGAGTTGTGAGTTTCTAAAATATCAACAAAATATCACAGAAAAAAGAGCTTAAAGCTTTGAAATAAAAAGAGTTTGAAGACCAGACAGTAGAAGAGAGGCTTATGAAAGCAAGCCAGGGAATTATGTAGTTGATACTGTAAAATTTAATTTACAGGTAGCACTGAAATATTAATGTACCTTCACTGAAAATGTCTTCTTTCAGGTTGAAATGTTCCGTGAAAATGGAAGCCGTGCATATCATTTCCCTCACAAATGAGAACCAAAACCTTTCAAAGGCAATAAATTCTGTGATGTGCTTTGAAAGGATGACATTTAATTGTTTGTACATGAAATGGAAATGCATAGCTCAGGGTTTGGCTACATTTCTATGTTTGCTGCTTGATAACAGCAAATGTAATTTACTATAAAAAATAATGCATGAGAATTGAAAAATGTGTAAATGTCAAAGAAGCTTACAGAATGCAAGGAAAATATTTAAGATCTTGTTAATAAAAGTGTAGGCTTTTCATTTGATCAGTCAATGAAGGTAAAATTAGCAAGTCTAGGCTTGCAACCCTGAAGTGTCTGCTTGATGTGCTTTAAATGGAGATTGTTAATGTCTCATAGAACTGACTGACAGAGCCTCAGACACAAATTTGTCATATTTTGGTTATTCAAGGCATCCGCTGAATTTAATTAAACGTAATCAAATTCACATCTGTAAAGCACTCAGTAAAAATAAATCATCCAAATGAGATTCAACGTGGTGAAATTCAAAGTGTGAAGTAGGCATTGAATAAATGAAGTGGAGAACAACAAGGATGGCTCACGGTAGATTACAAAGCAAATATGACTCAATAGGTGGTTAATTTCAAAATTGTCAATTCTCATTTTAGAACACATTAACGTGGGTGCCATAAGTTGCATTTTATTAAAGAAGAGAGAATACACCAGATGAGACCACCTGGAAACTCAAGCAGATGAAAATTTTGTCTCAGTTCTGATCTTTGTGGGAAAGATAACAACCATGAATTATAGGGAGAAGCTGAAAGAACTTTGGTTTATTCGAGATGAGAGAGAAATGGGACAGATGGGGGTTCTTTGGGACCTCAGAGCTGCTGAGCCAAGCAGCACCAGTAGAGTGGCACCAACAATTCCCAAGTATTTTCATTCCCTGGTCACCTGAAATGTCCCTCACATTGACTGGACTGTGACATCTGCCAGCATTATTTTAAATAATACGTTGTAGTGAAAGGTTATGGAATGGGAAATGACTGAGGAAAATAAATCCTCATCTCTAAACTGCCCGAAGTACCAACAATATTGTCATTGCTGCTGCAGGAACCACCCTCCAGAATGCTCCTTGGAGGTGGTGCTTTGTCAGGAGAAGGCATTTCCCAGGCGGATTTAAGAGCACCTGCTGCTGCAGACAGGTCCAGCAAAGCCCTGCCCTGCCATGTGGGCTCTGTGGCAGCACACGTGGCTGTTTGACCTCTATGAAAATCAATAGTTTCTAACAGCTATAGAGGCATATTGAACAGAGCTGCCCTTTGATGCTGCTCAAAGGCGTGGGGAGTTATCAATATTTCCCTGTCAAAAATGCTCTCAGTACAGAGTGAGCTATCTGGGCTAGTGTAGGTATGAGGAATATATTAAGTTTTTCTCCCTCCCCTAACAATTTTAAATTTTAAAGTCTTTGTCTTGCTCTATTTGTTGCAAATGTGAATCCTTGCCCTTTGAACTGGACAGTTTTTTAATTCAAGGTATGACACGCCATCTCGCAGCGATGAATTTTCCATTTGTGCTTCTACACCTCAGACAAACTGTTCAAAGGCGTTGAACTCTCTCTAGGAGCTGGACTGGCCAAAAGAGCTGGGTAGCCCTGGTGAGGTGTCTCAGGTGCTCTACAGGGGATCTAGAACCACAAGCTCTGACTGATGCTGGGTTTTTAGGTTGCTCATAGTAGAGGAATTTGACTCCCTTGAGACCAAGCAATGGCACTTTGGCAAACGGGCCTCAAGTTTACATTTGCAGCCTTTAAAATTGATAAGAGGAGGACAACATACACATTTTCACGAGTTGGGCTTTTTTTTCTTTAGTTTTGTTGCAATTGCCCAGCAGTAATTTGTGGGTTTGGGGTGGGTTAATGCAATTTTTAACGTTCCCCCTTTCCCCCTCCCTCTTTCCCCAGACTCGTTGAATTATCCTCCGTGGTCCACATCAACTCCCACTGGGGGATCATCTCCAAGTGCTTGGCTTACAGCAAAGCTGTTTCAGACCCTTTTGTGTACTCTTTGCTGCGGCACCAGTACAAGAAGACGTGGAAGGACATCCTAAACAAGATCCTCAAGAGAAGCTCCATCAACTCCTCGGCGCTAGCGGGCGAGCCACACGGCCGGAACCTCCCGCAGCTCAACGAATGAGGAGCCCATCACGGCACCTGCCAAGGGATATCTGGGAAACCACAGCAACTGGCCCACCCCTAGTAGCTCCCCTCAGCTGCCCAGGTTTTGGGAGGCAGCTGTGGGCAGGGTGAAGCCCAGAGCGTGTCCCTCCAGCGGCCCGTGGCTGCTCTGGACCTCCTCCCCGCGACTGGAAGAGCGCTATTGATCCGTGGTCCTGCAGGCTCCACAAATACAAATCTCCCATTGATTTCCATCAGCTGCTGCATTTATAGATAAAAAAAATCCAGTCCTACATGAAGGTAATGGGAGCAAACTGCTGCTGGTGTAAGGTTGTTCTGAAAAGCTGCACAGGGATGTTTGTGCTGTGTTTGTTGTTGGCTGCAGGTGAAGCTCCTTCTGATGTAGCTGCCAATGTGGCTTTACAAAAACCACCCCCCACCCTAGTGGCTTGTTTGTAGAAACAAAGGTTGTTTGAAGAAAATAGAGAAGATTGTTTGTAGAAAATATCTTAATGGAAAAAGCTTAAAAAAATTATCTAAATATTCATCCAGCACCCAATGCAGTTCAGCCTTTTCTGACATAAATTTTAGGAAGAAGCCCATAGAATTTAAGGAAGAGAAAAACCACTTTTGGAGTGTGCTGGATTCAGCCATGTCTTCTCTAAATTTTAAAATTTATTTTACATAGAATCTCACTAATATTCTCCCCATTAAATTTCAGGAGAATACAAATGGTAGACAGGGTGGAAAGGTCAGGATGCCTCCTGCCTCCCTTCCATATATCGGAGCTCTGAGTAGCTGGATTTTGCCCAAAGCTGCAGATCTGGGCCCTGCGCCCAGGAGGAAAATAACAAATCTCTTTTTCTGAGGAGTTATTAATCATGGGGCTTTTTCCTACTTAAAGGAAAGATGAGCCTAAGTCTGAGTTTCAAGGATAATTTCCAAAGCAAGTGGAGCACAAATAATAGGCCCCCCTCTCCACCATGAAAGTGGAGCCAATAATCTGAATCCACCCCTAAATGTGCAAATCTCTGGAGGTGTCAGTACAAATCTTTATAGCTCTGGATTGCAGTTCTGCATAGGAACATTATTAACATTTACCATGCACTCAGATGCCTGCCCAGATTTTAAAATAGGCTTGGTTAATTAGGCTTCATGAATGCAATGGCAGCTTCCATAACAGCTGGCACAACTGGCTGTTCTGCCATCCATCCCTGCTCATATCCCAACTGTCAATGCCATTCTGAGGAAATAACGCCTCAAGTTGTAAAAAATGTGGGATTGCTTTTTAGTTGCCACCTTCTCTCATGAAAGGGAAGGGCTTGGTGTGTTGCAAAAAATGTCCACTGTTGAATTTTCTGGCCTCCGATTCAAAGCCCAGATAAGGGACTGAGTGAGAGGCTTCACCCCAGAGTCAGTGAATGTCATACCTCAGTTATTATCTGAAGATTATCAGCTACCATGTAAATAAAAAAAAAATCAGCTTCATTCTTAATTTCAGTTATAAAAATTACCATAATTACAATAAAATCCACACATAATTATAGCCACAGAATTTAAGAAGCTTTTAAAACACTGCATTCAAATGAGCCCTTAGCCGGATTAAAGAGTCTACCTCATCTTAATCATTTTGCTTCTTAGGCTTAACATCATTTTCTCAGGTGCAATAGATAAAAACACCCAGTTCAATACTTATTTCTTAAGAAATTCAAGACATATTGATGATTAGATTGTATTGGAATACAGGATGTTAGCAAGTTGAATAGTATTGAGTTTAAAAAGATAAAAAAGCTGTATATTGAGCATGTTTGACTTAAATTGCACCAGAAAAGGCCACAGCTGTTGTAAACATGGAGATGATGCCAAAGCCAATGGGAGGTTTGTATGTCAATAAGGGCAGCTCCAGAAACATTTAAACCTTCAAATTCAAAGAGAGTAAGCTAATTTCCCACGAGAAAAAAAAAGCATAATCCATTTAGAACGTCTAGTAAAAGATGGAGAATACAGCACTGGACTTGTCTCATTATGCTTGTGTATCACAGTCAGTCACTGGCTGATTTATATCCCACCATGAGCAATAAATCTCTCCCCTTGTATGCGTTTAAAAATTTGTCTCTCTTTCATGGTGCCTTTCTCTCCTAATTAATCTTATAACAGAGAATAGGTATGATTTCCCCTTCCTTGCATCAGCTCTCTGTCATGTTTTGACCATCTGAAGCAAGCAGGAGTTGTAAATGCTGGTGCTTGACAAACTGCCTCAGAACACGAAATAAAAACACCACCCCAGCATTTCCTGATGACATTTTATAGGATACTCAAAATATGATGCTGTGGCTTGTTCAGTGCTAGATTTTCAGCTGAATTCTCATAGGCAACTGGCAAAATTGTCTAAAATGTGTGTCTCAGTGATGAATGTAGATATGAGTAACTATCTGTCTGCTGAGTATTATATGTACTACACAACACTCTGGCTGGAGTGGGTTAAAATCCTGCTGGTCAATGTAATGCACAGTATTTATTATCTCTGCTCACCAAGCAGAGCTGTTCTCTTGTCTAACACACGTGTGTGCAAGGAGAGGGAGGGGGGTGGGGGGAATTTCCATTTGTTACTTCAATATTTTTGAAAAAGTTTTGTCAAGTTTGGCTGCAACCTGTGCCCAAAATCTGGAGCTGCATGTGCAAAATCTGGGCAGCTGCTTAGGCAATGTGCAGATTTCTGTTTGCTGTATCTGTGACCCATCTGCAATATCTACTCCTCACACGCATGTTCAATTAACATTTCCTTCAGAGCTTGTGAATTTGGCAGGCAGAGAACTGGCAGATGATTAAGAGAATGTAGTCCACCACCACCACGTTGTTTTGTGGATTCTGAGCTTTTCCCTTTGTTCATTTGAACGGTTTTTGCACCATTTCAGGGCCCTCACTGTGAGCTGTCATCCTGGTTTCTGTTGTGTTCTTGAGCCAGTTTGAACGTGAAGATTAATTGCAATTGGCAAAAATTATGAGAGACTGATAAGGATTGTTGAGCAATTATTAAGTACCAGGCCCTCTCTTGACATAAATCAAAATAATGGTGGTTTCACCTGAGGATTGGATAAAGTCACCATTAGGTGACTTTATCCAGGGTTTATAGATTTCTTCTCTATGTTTAGAGCCCTTTTTAAATTGTATTTACAAGTGGAAGGGTGTAAGCAGGATTTAGGGAGTTCCTCTGATGTGCAAGTGCTCTCTTCCACTGTCAGGCAGCCACATAACTAATTAAGTCCTACCCCTGTTCTTACACTTTGAGTAGATGACCCTAAAAACCTCTTTTCAGCATCCCAAATCAGACTTTTTAGAACTTCCCTTATGTCTGAAAAATACCAAACCTGCAAACCCGGAGATTAAAAATGCTTCAGACAAACCCTGATGGAGCCTGATGGCTGCTGCAGCTGTAGCCACACAAATCACAGCAGCCCAGACCAGCTGAGGTTGGAAGGAACCTCAAAAAGCCCCCAGAATCCACATCCCTGCCTCTGGCAATGATTTACCCTCTCAGTTTTGCCAAAGCATTTAGAAAATTATCTTGGTCTGCTTCAGGTCAACAGTAAAATCTTCTGGCTAGGATTTTTTTTTTTTTAATAACTTTGAGAAGACATTTTAGACTAAACTTCACAACCCAGAACATATTTAGGAGGCTCCAAAAGTGAAGTAGGAATGGATGTGAGTGGGAGGCTGGGAAGCACAAACTGGCTTTGCTGCAGTGGTTTGGGATTCCTTGGCTGCACTGAGCTTTTCCCAGTGCCCTGTTCCCACCCTGAGATCTCTCCAAGCCTCTCAGACATTCACTCATCCCAAAGAAAAAGGTGAGAATCCTGTCAAAGGAGTATCCTTTTGGGTTTGGGAGGACTCTCATGGTCTTCAGATGGTTTTTATGGGAACTACTCACACAGTTTGAACAACTAGAGAATATAATTCTTAAAGTCTAGGAGGTTTAGGTCACTAAAATGTGAATTTTTCTGGACCTACATGCCCAAGGTTTCATAGCTCCCTCACCTCTCTTAATCCTAAATGAAGAAGGCTCTGAATACCTTGCCCTGTACATTTTTATGTGCACAGTGAATATCTCTAGAATAACCCTTTGGAAATTGCTTTTCTCTGCTGTTAGATCTGTCTTCTCCCCACACTCAGTGTTCTCCTGATTAAACAAAGCTTAAAAGCAAAGACAGAGAGTTCACACCTCTGTCAGCTCGTTGTTACTGGACTCTAAAAGTCACTGAGCAGCACAGAAAGCTCAGCTGGATCCTGACCCCAGAGCCACTGGGTGTTTGCTTTGCTGGATTGTGAGGGCTGAGCTTTTGTGTCTGCAGAATCAGGGATTATGTCTTTGTAACCTGCCCAGACCGGAATAAGTGAGAACAATGTCATTGTAGCCTTAAATCTATTTATTTATTATTTGCTTCTTATGCTTTCAGCATTCAATATAGTGAAAATTTTCGATGGGTGAAGGGTTTCTTTTTAGGAAAACCATCCTGCTCCAAAAGGCAGCTGTCCCTGTGGGGAGGGTACAAAAGTTTACAGAGAGAAAAGAGCTGCTGCAGTCTTTGTAAAAATGTCAGCTTCTTACCTGTACTCCTGGTGTGTTTGGTGTAAATATGTATTTAGGATTGTTGATTTTAAAGAAAATACTGCTGGTTTATGAGCTGAAGAAGTTGCTATAGTTTATCCTATATGTCTATATTTCTAAGGAGGAGGATTAGCCCCACAGGCTGTAAGTGCCCTTCAGAAATGTGTGTGCCAAGAAGCAGAAGCATCAGGGGTGTGACAGCAGGGGTGGCAATTGAGGAGTAAAATAACTTTTTTGTTGTTGTTGTTGAAGAAATGCTATTTCACATGGTTTCAATATACCCAAGGGCACAAGTCCATATGGCTGATTATTTACACACAAAGTCATGTCAGGGAAAGGATTTCCATCTGGAATTGTTACTGAGTCAGAGAAGGGTTTGGGGTTGGAAGGGAGCTTAAATCCCATCCATTCCACCCCTGCCATGGCAGGGACACCTCCCACTGTCCCAGGTGCTCCCAGCCCCAGTGTCCAGCCTGGCCTTGGGCACTGCCAGGGATCCAGGGGCAGCCACACCTGTGCCAGGGCCTGCCCACCCTCACAGGGAACAATTCCTTCCCAAAATCCCATCTAAATCTGCGTCAGTTTGAATCCATTTCCCTTTGTCCTGTCACCCCCTGCTCTGGTCCAAAGTTCCTCTCCATCTTTCTCTTTTCTAGTCACTGTAGGTCTACAATCAG